GGAACAGCTCCGCGCCGGCGAACTTGCCCTCGAAGAGCACGGTGCGGTTGTCGGAGTTGAAGGCTCGGCACATGCGGACCAGCACCACCTCCAGGGCACCTGCCACCCCCCCGCGACACGGGCGACAGCGACACGGACGGTGGCACCGGGAGCGCGGGCACTCGCGGGGGTCGGGGCGGTGCCCCCGGGGCGCGGGAGTGTCACCGTGGGATCGTGGGCCTGTCACCTCCCCCCAGGAGGATGGAGTGGCCCCGTGGGACTGTCACCGTGGGAACGTGGGACTGTCACCTCCCCGGGGAGGATGGAGTGTCCCTGTGGGACTGTCACCTCCCCGTGGGACTGTCACCTCTTCGTGGGAGCCGTGGGACTGTCACCGTGGGACCTATGGGACTGTCACCTCCCCATTGGGGATGGAGTGTCCCCGTGGGACCGTCACCTCCCCGTGGGACCAGAGAATCCCCCTGACTGGGGACAGGGGGGCTGGGGAAAGGGGGACAGCGGGGACAGAGTGGCCCCAGGGCTGGGGACAAGGGGATGGTGTAGCCCTGGGGCTGGGGACAACGTGCCAAGGGGACAGAGTGTCCCTGGGGCTGGGGACAAGGCGACAGGGTGTCCCTGGGGTTGGGGACAAGGGGATGGAGTGTGACTGGGGCTGGGGACAAGGGGATGGGATGTTCCTGGGATTGAGGACAGGGGGACGGGGTGTCCCTGGGGTTGGGGACGAGGGGACAGGGCGTCCCTGGGGTTGGGGACAAGGGAATGGCGTGTGTCTGGGATTGGGGACAACGTGCCAAGGGGACAGGGCTGGGGACAAGGGGACAGGGTGTGACTGGGGCTGGGGACAAGGGGATGGAGTGTGACAGGGATGGGGCCAAGGGGACGGGGTGTCCCCGGGGCTGGGGCCAATGTGCCGAGGTGTCGCCAGGGTCGGTGGCCCCGTACCCGCCTTGAGCAGCACGATCTGGTCGTTCTGGCTGAGCTCGAGGAAGCCCCGCAGGCGTTTGGCGAACTCCACCACGTCCTGGATGGCCTCGGTGACGCGGCCGGCGCAGCGCTGCCACATCTCAGCCGAGGGCTGCGGCACCCGCCGTCACCCCCAGCCCCCCGGGACACCCCTGAACTCCCAGGGACACCCCTGAACCTCTCGGGGCACCCCCGAGCCTCCCGGAACACCCCCGAACTCCCGGGACACCCTCGAACCCCCGGGACACCTCTGAGCCTCCTGGGACACCCCTGAGCCCCTGGGACACACCCGAACCTCCGGGGACACCCCTGAAGCCCCCGGGGACACCTCTGCGACACCCCCGCGACACCCCCGAGCCCCCGGGGACACCCCTGAGCCCCCGGGACACCCTCGAACCTCTCGGGGCACCCCCGGACCCCCGGGACACTCCCGAACCTCCGGGGACACCCCTGAGCCTCCTGGGACACCTGCCAACCTCCCGGGGACACCCTCGAACCTCCGGGACACCCCTGAGCCTCCCGGGGCACCCCCGAATCTCTGGGGACACCTCCGAACCCCCGGGACACCCCCGAATCTCCGGGGACACCCTTGAACCCTCCAGGACATCCCCAAGGACACCCCCGGGGACACCCCCGAACTCCCGGGGACATCTCTGAGCCTCCCGGAGACACTCCCGAACCCTGGAGTCCCCGGGACACCTCCAAACCCCCGGGACACCTCTGAGCCTCCAGGGGCACCCCCGAGCCCCCGGGACACCCCTGAAGTCCCCGGGACACCTCCGAAGCCCTCGGGACACCTCTGAGCCTCCCGGGGCACCCCTGAAGCCCCCGGGGATACCCTTGAGTCCTCCGGGGACACCCCTGAACCCTCGAGCCCCCGGGACACCCCCGAACCTCCCGGGACACCCCCGGGGACGCCCCCGAGCCCCCTCCCCGGGGCCGGACCTTGCTCTGGTAGGCTCGGATCTCGTCCCGGGTGAAGGTGTCCCAGCGCCGCCGCTGCAGCTCCTCGGGCCGCGGCCGGCACGTGTCGCGATGGGACAGCACCACACTGAGCGTCAGCTGCTCTGGGGGGACACGGGGCGTGGGGACATGGCAGGGGACAGGGGGACTGGGGACAACGACAGGGGACACGGGGCGTGGGGACAGCAACCCACACTGCCCGTCAGCTGCTCTGGGGGGGACACGGGGCGTGGGGACAGCGACAGGGGACACGGGATTTGGGGACAGTGCCAGGGGGACATGGGGCGTGGGGACAGCGCAGGGGACACGGGGGTTGGGGACAGGGCAGGGGACACGGGGCGTGGGGACAGTGACCCACACTGCGCGTCAGTTGCTCTGGGGGGACACGGGGCGTGGGGACAGAGACAGGGGACAGGGGGCGTGGGGACAGAGACAGGGGGAAATGGGGCGGGGGGACAGCGCAGGGGACACGGGGTTTGGGGACGGGGCAGGGGGTTTGGGGACAGGAGAGGGGACACGGGGTTTGGGAACAGTGGCAGGGGACACGGGGTTTGGGGACAGCGTCGGGGCCGGGGCGGGTGGCCCTGGGTGTGTTCTCGACGGACAAGGTGCCACTGCCAGCCGGCACCCACGGGTGACAGAGCCGGGTGTCACCACCCACGGGTGACAGAGCCAGGTGCCAGCACCACGGCAGCCCCCCGGGTGACACCCGCAGCCCCCAGGGGTGACAGTCCCCCCCCCCCTGCACTCACCGATCTCCCCCGCGGACGCCGTTGGGGACTCCAGGACGCCGCTGCCCCCGGGGTGGGGGAACCACTCGAGGGCCCCCCTGTCGCCGTCCCCGTCCTGTCCCCGCTTTGTCCCCTCCTGCACGGGAGGGGACACCCTGGGACAGCTCGGGGGGACAGCGGGGGACAGCGGGTGCGCCGGGGGGGGGAGCGGAGCCCCCTGGGCCGCCCGTTCCCGATCCCGTTGTTCGCGATCCCGTTGTTCCCGTTGTTCCCGTTCCCGATCCCGCTGCTCCAGCTGCTGCTGCGCCTCTGCCTGGAGCCGGTCCCGCTGCTTCTTGGACATGCGGCCGAACTTGACGGCTGCGGGGACACGGGGGGGACACCGCGGGTGGCACCGGGCGACGCTCGTGTCGCACGAGGGTGACCCCACACGGCAGGGACAGGAGGAGGGGAGGGGTGTCCCCAGATTTAGGGACTGGTGTCCTCAGGGGCACGGACGTGTGTCCCCAGGGCCGGGCCGGGTGTCCCCAGATGTGGGAGGGGACAGAGGGCCGGGAAGGGTGTCCCCAGGGCAGGGACGGGTGTCCCCAGGGGTGTCCCCGGCTTTGGGGCCGGTTGTCCCAGGGCAGGGCCGGGTGTCCCCAAGGGTGTCCCCGTGGTGTCCCCGCGGTGTCCCCAAGGGTGTCCCCGACCCTGTGGCGGGTGTCCCAAGGCAGGGACGGGTGTCCCCAGATTTAGGGACAGGTATCCGCAGGGCGGGGAGGGGTGTCCCCGCCGTGTCCCCGCCTCTGTCCCGGCTGTCCCAGGGCAGGGAGGGATGTCCCCGCAGTGTCCCCGCGGTGTCCCCGGCTCGGTCCCGGCTGTCACGCACCTTGGCGGGACATGCCGAGGCGGAGGCACTTCTGGAGGCGGCAGTGTTGGCAGCGGTTGCGGGTGGCGCGGTCGATGGGACAGTTCTGCTGGCGGCTGCACGCGTAGCTCGGGCCGCCCTTCTGGCTGCGCCGGAAGAACCCCTGCGAGGGGGGGAAGGCACCCCATGGCACCCCCGTGTCACCCCCATGGCACCCCATGTCTCCTCGTGTCCCTCTATGTCCCCCATGTCCCCCCATGTCCCCCCACAATGTCCCCCACGTCCCCCCATGACCCCCCAGCCTCATCACATCACTGATGGCCCCCCATGGCCTCCCCTTGTCACCTCACGTCCCTCATGACCCCCCAAGTCCCCCCATGTCCCCCATGCCCCCTGTGTCCCCTCATGTCCTCCTATCCCCCCGTGTCCCCCCGTGTCCCCCATGCCCCCATGTACCCCCATGTCACCCCCGTGTCACCCCGTCACCCCCATGGTACCCCATGCCCCCCATGCCCCCCGTGTCCCCTCGTGTCCCCCCATGCCCCCTGTGTACCCCCACAATGTCCCTCATGTCCCCCCATGCCCCCCATGTACCCCCATGTCCCTCATGTCCCCCCATAATGTCCCCTATGTCCCCCCAGCCCCACCACATCACCCTGATGGCCCCCCATGACCCCCCCAAATCCCCTCATGTCCCCCATGCCCCCCGTGTCCCCCCGTGTCCCCCCGTCCCCTGTCACCTTGCAGCCCTCGCAGGTGATGACCCCGTAGTGGATCCCCGAGGATTTGTCCCCGCAGATCTTGCAGGGGATCACCTCGATGGGGGCTGGGGGGACACGGGGACACCGTCAGGGGG